AGAGAGAGAGAGAAAGGAGGAAGGGCGGGAAAGGAGCCGGAGGCGCCAGAGCTGCCACCCGGCGGCCTCGGGAGCAGCAGCAACAGCAGCGGCGGCGGCGGCGGCTCAGCAGGCGCCCGAGTGGCGGGGCACCAGGGTGGGGCAGTGGCCCAAATCCACCGGGGCGGGCCCCGTCCTGCCAGGTAGCCAAAGGGTTGCCCGGCCTCAGTTCCCTTTCGCCTCCGCGGCGGTCACTGCCCTTACCCTTCGCACCGCGGACTGGATTCCTCAGGAAGCGAGCAGATCGAGGTGCATGGGTTGAAGGGAACCGTCCCGAACGTGGGTGCCAAAATAGTGCCGCTGCCTGTTATCCCGATATTGGGTCTGGTTGCCACCCACACCCGCCTGCAGGGCTCTTCTGCTTTCGAGAAAACGCATGCGAGCCAAGCGCAACGAACGAAGTTTTGGCTCCATTAGGCAGGCACAGTAACGAGGAAAGCCTCACCTGTTGGACTTCTGTTCGCCACTCAACTACCGCACTGAAACCCAGAGGAATCAGTTGGCAACCCTACCATTGACTGCTAACCTGTTCATTTAACTAACTAACTAACTAACTAACTAACTAACTTTCTTTCTTTCTTTCTTTCTTTCTTTCTTTCTTTCCATGACTAATCTCTCACCTTTCTCCCTGGGTTGGGATTTAAACCAGTTCTCAGTAGGGATTAAAACAAGTTACAGATAAAAACCGATAAAACAGATACAGAGGAAAACCACCAGAAAATTGCAAAGGTGGAACAAAATTAAATATTTGCCTCATTTATTTCGTTCATCTCCTTCCATCCAGTTAACTATTTTAGCATTTCTTCCTATTCTTTATCCTGCTCTTCTTCATCCCCAAGTCTTTATGCCACACTGTCTGAATGTTCTTTCTTGTTCTGTTTAGAAAACCCAACACCCCTCATCTCTGCCTTTCTTTTCCAGGTTCTCAGTTTTCTCTCAGTGAAAAAGAAAACGGGAATCAGCCAAGCTCCCCTAACTTCTGTTTGCTCAGCAGTACCTTCAGAGCTGCCTTCATGGCAGCTGTTACTGGTCCTTCCAGTGCGGCTGGTGCTCTTGTTGTGCTCTTAGTGAGAGGAAACAGCCAGACCCACAGGGAGAGCCTGAAGAAAACTCTGGATCCCTCCTGCTCTTTGGCTGCTTTCTGAGCTGGGTTTAAGGTTTGCGCGCAGCTTCAACCTGCTGTCTCCCATCCAGCTAGTGGTGCCTTCCCCCCCCACACACACACACACACACCACCCGCCTCAAGTCAGTCACATGCTGGTAAGAGAGGGAGGGAGCTGTCACTATGTAGCTTCAGCTGACTGCCATGTCCCTCATTTCAGCTGTTCCTCCTCACCAATTTATTTGTGAGTGAAGAATAATCACAAAGAATCCCACCCACCACCTGTCACTTTTTTTTCCTATTTACCAAACATGAAAAAACATCCTATCTTATGAATGTCACTTTTCTAAGCAGGAGCACTTGCATGGCACATGAGGGGGAAGGAGGAGTCTGCCTTTCCATCACTGACACAAATGCAAACCTCAATCCTGAGCTGCAAGCATTGGAAAAAAAATGTCACTTAATAATGCAGGAGGAACTTCTTGATGTGGTTAGCATGCTTTTATCACAAGGACCTGAGGGGGTGCCCAATAGATGCACCCTGTGAGATATAGATTAGATTGCAAGGTATTGAGATTCCCAAGGCCAAGAACCTCAACAAAGCAGGAATTTCAACACAGATTTTCTTGGTCCAGGGCTGGGCAATCTTGGCAAAGCCAAGGGCTAGTTTCCTGCCCCAGGATCCTCTACGGCAGTGGTCAGGGAACAGGGGTAAATTACGCCAAATGGGGTAAAAATGAAAATCCTGGGGGTAATGAGGATGAGCAGAGCCCCACTATTGATGCTCTCATATCCAAGATGAAGCAACATCATTTCTCCAAAACCTGAAGTTTTCAAGCAAGTTGAAGCTTTCAAAGTAATTTTGAATAGATTCAATAAGATTTCGAATTCAAATAATGTATGATTTCCTTCCTTTCATATCAAGGGGGTAATGCTAGCGTTTATAAATTTTATGGGGGGTAAAAGGTAAAAAAGTTTCCTGACCCCTGCTCTACGGAGTGCATGAGCCAGAAATGAAGTGCTAAAAAAATACAAAGCACAAAGTGGCCAGAAGTCTACACATGGTTTTAGAAAGTGGGTATATATAATGTTAAGAAATAGGTTTTCTGGAGGACCTTGCAACCAGCTGGTAGGGTGGATTGCAACTTTTTGCTGCTTTTTGAGGAGCTGCAATGTCCTATTGTTCACTAAGGACAAAAGTGGGGAGAATAGGAGAGTGTGGGATGGAGCAGTACACACAACATTAGAAATTATTGTGGCCCTTTGCACTTTGTCTGTCCCACCTTATCCATGTCCTCTCTGCCAAAAATGGGACTCAGGGTGGTGTAATAACAATAAAAGTCAACATTAAAAGTCAAATAAAAATAAATATTCTTTGAAGTGTAAGAAGATCTTTGCCTGCTGACATAAGAACATCAGTGGTAGGTGGGAGTTGGGGCAGAGCGGTGGGCAAGAAAGACTCGTCTTGTGTTGACATACCTTCAAAATTAGAATATGTATTTCAGAATCTGAGATAATGAGTAGGTGGAATGTGTCATTACTTCCTAAAGATGATCCAATGCACACTGCTCCAATGTAAACAAATAACAACAGTATTCAGTTTGTGTCCTGCTGTGTCTCAATGCACCTCACAACACAAATTAAAACAGACACAACTAAAAAGACAGTGGCAGAAATCCTCGTTTCTTGTAGTAAGTGGCAACTAGAGTATACCAATTTAAATAAATTGAATTTACAGAAGAGTTGACTCGCCAAATCAGTGATTCAGTGGGCCTACTCTAGTGCAACTTACTGTGCTAGGCAACAGACTTTACATGTTATAATAGTAAAAACAAATACATTTGCAAGAAACAGTCACTGGATTAAAACCATTTAAAAGCTCAAGAAAGGGGGCATCTACAATGTCCACCTTTAAAAGACTTATTCAATTGCTACATGATGGCCAAAGTCCTGTCTAAATTTTTAAAGAAAGCCTCTGCCCACCAATGGATGGACAGTAGGGAGGGACCAGCCTAGCTGTTTTGAGAAGGAAATTCCACAGCTTTGGAGCAGCCACCAAGAAGGCCCTCTGCCATACACATTCCTGTGACTGAGAGAAAGATTTTCTCCAAAGATATCAAGTCCTGAGTTGGTTCACATAAGGGAAAACACTTCTTCAGACAGTGTATACTGAGAACATAGAGTCTACCTGGGTCACACAAAGTATCACAGCAGACAAATGATGACAGTAACAATTCTACTTTCTTTACTCCTTTTTAAATATTATTCAAAGATCTTAAGTGTCTACCTGCTGCCCACTATAACCCCAGCAAAAAGGAGACTTGGGCAGGGGAAGAGAAAACAACAATATCCAATATTTGTATATGGACAAAACTGCATAGAAAAAAGTATATATCAGTACACACATGCAAGCAAATTTTCATGGAAATTTGAAAATAAAATGCATAGAGATGGAATAGAATAAAATTAAAACTGAAAAGTATACTTAGGAACAACTAATACTGACAGATTACTATCCACCTACTGATAGGATTAGAACAGATATGGGAACTTGTAAACAGAGTCTGGAGAAATATTTTTGTAGTAGTAGAAGTAGTAGTGTAGCTCCCAGAGTCTCTAACCAGCTTGACCACTGCCCATGCTATCAGAATGAACATTATCCTACATGATGATGCTGCCAGTATCTTTTTGCACAACAGACCATGTGAGTTATAATTACAACCCCCATAATCCTTGGCAGAAAATTATGCTGGTAATCCTCAAAAGAAATAATATCTGTTACTGGTTGTTCTGGGTTTTTCGGGCTCTTTGGCCGTGTTCTGAAGGTTGTTCTTCCTAACGTTTCGCCAGTCTCTGTGGCCGGCATCTTCAGAGGACAGCAACCTGTGCTCTGGTGTAGTTGGCTTGAGAGTGCAGTATTTATGGCTGTGAGATAGGCTTTTGTCTTTTTCTGTAGATGGGTGATTAGTGTGTATTGTTGTGGGTGTATTGTTGTGCTAAGGAGAAGAGATTATCTGTTCCTGTGGTTGATGGGTGTCATTAGCTGGTCTTTTGTGTGTAGTGATCCCCTGTCCTTGTGGCTGGGTAGAGTTCGTTGACCTTTTTCACGTTGTATTTTTGAGAGCTGGGAGCCAAGTTTTGTTGAGCTTCATAGTTTCATCTTTTTTGTTGAAACTGTGCTGGTGCTTGTGGATTTCAATGGCTTCCCTGTGCAGTCTGACGTAATGATTGCTGGTGTTGTCCAGTATTTCAGTATTTTGAAATAGAATTTCATGTCCAGTTTGTTTCAGGGCATGTTCAGCTACTGCAGATTTTTCTGTTTTCTCCTGTTACTCTTTCCTGGTCCCTAGCATAGCCCTTTCCCCCCGGCAGTATGGTACAGAGTAGCCAAAAATGGAGGACCTTCAGTGTTCTTTTGAATGCTTGAAACACATTAATGGAATGCTCTGATATACCTTTTCCTTTTCAGCCAAAGGTCGTGGGATGGTCTAAGATCAGAGCCTGCCACCACTGTCTTGAACTATGAAGTATCTTACTTTTGAAGAACTTCCCTTTTGCTCCTTCAGTACTGGTACTTTATACTGCCAGTTAGAGATGCCCATGAACTGCTAGTTCAGCCAATGGCAATACAGCTGATCTGCATCTCAGTGCCCTGCTCCCTTCATGCCCATCCCTAGTGCTAATTTATACAAAAGTGAGGCCTAGTGAATTAATGAGTCTCACTGACAGAAAGTGAATCAAAGGAGTTTGTTCCAGTGTTTAGGAGGTTAAAACTTCTAAAATTCGTGAAAGGGACAACTTGGCACCAGTTGATACAGCAAAAGGGGAAAGCACCAAAGTAGAAGGAGATTGATAACTGGAAACCAATTAATCACCAGAGTCCCCCAAGACCTTCTCTGTTACTCTGGAACTCCCTCCCATGCTGGCAACAATTTTGCTGCCCTTCCACGTGCAGGCAAAGTCCTTTCTCTTCCCTCAGTAACTAGCTGACTAAGAAGAGGTTCTAAAACCGTTTATTTTTTAATACAGTGAACCACTTTGGGTGCTTTCTGGGAGAACGATAAGGCACAAATATTTTAAAGAAAGAAAGAAAATAAAAATGTATTCTAGCCAAGCAGCCATTTCACATCCAGATATGGCAAAGGAAGGGTACCATATGTTTATTAGACTTACCATGTTCTACTACACCAAGTCTTCACTATACTTAGAAGAGTGTGTGTGTCAGAGAAAGATGATTGACAGTCTTGTGTAGTCGTTGACTGGATTGGTCAAAGTAGTGCTAAGGATTTTCCTTCTTTCTTCCCAATCTTTTTCTGTCATCTTATATACATATCATAATGCCTGGTTTGAGGTGGACTTATGGAGGGCAGGAGCTAGGCAAGAAATATAGTACATGGCTCCCTGGAAAGAGTAAAAGGGGGAGTTTGTAGGGGCTTTGTGTGCACAGTAGAGGTCCATTGTGATGGCATCAAGAAGGCTTTTGGTACAATACAGAGGTTGCTCCTTTGAAGACTGCTACAGGCGTGATCATCCAGGACCGAGCACAGAAGATGGAACGCTGGGTGCAGCACTACTCTGAGTTATATTCCAGAGAGAATGTAGTAACTGAAGAGGTATTAAATAACTTTGAGTGCCTGCCTGTCTTGGAAGAGTTGGACAGTGAACCAAACTTAGCAGAAATAAAAGCACCCTTGGATTCCCTCGCCTCCAGCAAGGCACCTGGGAAGGATAACATGCCTGTTGAAGTGCTGAAGTGCTCTTTAATCTCTCTAGATTGAGAGTGAAGACCAAAGTCCAGTTGAAATGCATGCGGGACTACCTCTTCACCAATGATGCAGCCATTATTGCCCAGTCTGCTGAAGACCTCCACAACTCATGAACTGTTTTAGTAAGGCCTGCCAAGATTTTGGACTAACAATCAGCCTGAAGATTGTTCAGGGCATGGACTCAACTCCTTCTATTACTTCTCTACACAAGAATTGGAGGTTGTTCATTACTTTGCGTACCTTGGCTCAATGATCTCTGACATTCTCTCCCTAGATGTTGAGCTGGATAAACGAATTGGCAAAGCAGCTACCATGTTCTCTAGACTCAC